ACTTTAATAACACAATTTGTTAAATATGATACACGTGTTAACATTAGTTTCACTACAATTTACTTGTATTTTAACAAATGTAAACTGTATTCTAGGAATCACTGACAGAAAGTTGTAATAAAAATAATTATCTTTGTGTTTTCCCAAACTTTAGCTTTTCTCATTTTCGTGCTTGTTGTTCAGCTGCCATACTTCATCTGCATGGTGTCACCTCTTAACCATGTAAAATAACACACAAGCAGAGTATGTTACTAAAACTGGACATTGCAAACTTCATGACAGCATAATTTCTAACAGAGTGTAACTTCAGAATATGCAGAAGTCATTTCTACTTCATGGAATAATCTGACAAGCCAGACATGTCTGTTTGATTAGAACAGTTTCTCTGACTGCCCCAAATAAACCAAAGAGTTCATGAAAACTCTGAAATCCAAACATCAGTCTTTTTTTATCCTGGTGTAACTCTGAGAGCATGTGATGCTTTCAACAGAAGCAACAAAAACTAACAACCAAATAGGAAAACCTTAAACTTAAAAAGGAATTCAACCCTGTACCAAAATTCCAAGGACAACACTCCAGCTCCCACAAGACTCAGCCCACACAGCTGATAAGTTACACACCCATGCACATCCATCAAGCTAACACTGCTCCAAGACACTTTAAATATATCGTAGATTGTTGGATTGAATGATGAACTGTTGACTGGAAATAGTTTTGGTGCAGGGTGCAGTGGGAAACGTCTGAAAGGTCAAACTGAAAGTTTTATCATTTATTTTACATTTTCAAAACATAACTTTTAGTTTTTATATTTCAATGGATGATGAGGTTTGGAACAAAAGAAATGAACGTGTTTATAGTGGAAACTAGATAAAAAAGGAGGGGGGGCTCTGTTAGCTAACAGTCAGCTGGCTGACCTCTGGCTGACCTCTGGTTTTCTGTATATACCCATTTATTGCACACAAGCCATCTGTTCCTCATTTTGATCTATATTTGGGGTAGAGTAATCTGTCTTCTTATTATTCAGTAAAAGTAACTGAAATGTTATTTATAGAGCACCTTTCAATAAATATTACAAACTTTTTAAAAACCAAACTGCTTAAACATAATGCAAGTTTTTAGCTTTTACCGCTGAGTCCACAGTTTTTAAGCTGTGTGGGAGAGAGTGATGGTATCCACAGCAACAATGAGCTCATTAAGTATCACAAACAAATCAATATTGCATAATATTACCACTATACATTTTTAATGCATAGTGGTAATATGACATTGCTCGACTTTGTGTGTTGTAATGCTGAGAGCTGGAAGCACAGTTTGGATCCAAACAGTTTAAAGTGTAAGAAAGTCTTGATGCTATAGCAGTTTTAAAATGGTGATAAAGTGGGTGAGGAGGGAACAATGGGGTAGGTCAGGGGTCAGTGCACAGGTAGGTGACAAAGGTCAACTGGAAAGGCTCCAGTACAAGTAGCAGATCACTGAGACATGCACATCCCGAGCTAAAAGGTTTATTTACAGAGGAAAAGAAATGAAACAATACTGGGTCAGCTGACTCGAGCATCTATGGAGAGGTGGTGGCTGAGCCAGCGCAGACCAGCAGGGGGGCTAGATCCAGCTAAGACTGGTTTAGGTGGTGAGATGACACATTGGTGAAGAAGATGGTGGTCTGGACTGTGGACCGCCTGAAGAGCCGGTCGGTGAGCTGAAACAGACAAGATGACCTCCAATGAACACTTTTACTACTAAATAGTACAGATAGTAAGAGAGATCGTTTCAATCCAGGTCTGCTGAAGTGAAAGAAGCACTCTGATCTCTTTCTTCTTCTCATTCAATGATAATCTTTGGGGTAAAGAGGTGATCAGACAATCATTTGCTTGGAATCTTTAAATCAATGACCATAAAATATTTAATGGCCATAATGAAAATAAAATAGGAATTCCCAAAATACGGCCACACTATTTTTGGTACAGCAGTTCAGTACTCTACCTTTTTCACTATAAGGCTAGCTAGTCACGCTAGCTCAGCTAAACTCACCAAGAAACAGTTCCAGCAGTTATTCCTGACATACACTTTCCCAGATCTCCTCCCTCTCTCTCTCTCTCTCTCTCTCTCTCTCTCTCTCTCTCTCTCTCTC